GGGAGGCTTAACAAGTTGTTTAAATTTTTGAAAACAAAAATGATGACTTATAATGTGAACCCCTACCTAATTCACAATAAAAAGGGGTTTTTTTAATTAGTATATTTCATCCAGTAAATATTACCTAAAAACAAAACAAGAAAAATATTAGTCTCTACTTAATGTCTTAAGCACAGTGGGTTAAAATCAAATTTACTTTAAAATTTATATATATGTGTGTGTGTGTGTGTAATACACACAGCATATTTAAATTTGATTAATAGATGAATGAAAGAATGGATGAATCAATTTGACAAAACAAAAATAACAAAACATTAACAAGTATAGAATTTAAGTAATGAGCAGAAGGCTGCTCGTTGTATATTCTTTTTAATTTTTGGTATGACTTCAAAGTTTCATAATAAAATGTTTTAAAAAAATAGGAAAAGAAAATGTTTTGAGGAGAGAATAAATATACATTGACATTTTCAGATTGGCAATATTAAAGTAATAGTTTTATTTTCCTGTCAAAACTTTAAACAGAGTCTCATTAAATTAATTAACAGATATCTAGAGAGTCAGATTGGCAAAACAACCGTTTGAACCAAATACTTACATTATGACTGTGACAAAATCCAATTCCATTAATAATCTGAAACAAATATTTTTTAACTGTTTCATGGTCTAGCCCATTTGGAAAGAGTTCCAAGTCATCAAGAATTGTGTGGTCAACAAATTCAAAAACAAGGTACCATCGTTTTTTTTTCTTACACACTTCCAATAGATTCACCAGATTTTCATGCCTCAGTTGCTGTTATGGAAAAAAGAAAAAGAAAAATTATTTTTGTACAATCAAACAATTAGTGACAATCTAAAATAGATCTCAGTATAGAAAAAAGCAAATGCATACACTGCAAAACCACATGTCCGGCTTCTAAAAGATAATTAAGAGAACGTGTTGTTGTCAGGTGCCAGAGTCGATTCTGACCCATAGCACCCTTGTGCACAACAGGACAAAACATTGCAGCCATCTTCATAACTGTTCCTCTACATTGTTGCAGCCATTGTTTCAGTTCATCTCATGAAGGCCTTCTCTTTCCCTGCCCCTCTAACAAAAATGATGTGTCCTCTGGGGATTGATCTCTTCTGACAATATGTCCAAACGATGTAGATGAAGTGTTGCCCTCCTTGCCTGTAAGAAGCACTCTGGCCGTATTTCTTCTAAGATAGGTTTGTTCTTTCAGCAGTCTAGTACTTCAATATTTTTCTCCAGCACCACAGTTCAAATATGTCAACTCTTATTCAG